TACACGACCAGCACATTCCTCCATTTCTCTCTGCTTCAATTTCTTTTCCCATTAGAGTCTCACAATATCATTTAACCCACGCCATCCATCCCCATCTCCATCCAGATGGAGAGACTCCATCTCTCCAAATGCATAATGGCTTCTCCACCCAGAGCGCACATTAGAACCACCAAGGACCTTCAGAACTGCTGCTACTTGGGCCCTGCCTAGACCCAAGCCTCTGCCTTCCACTCAGGTCATGATCTCAGGGTCCTGGGATCGAGTCCCACGTCGGGCTCTCTGCTCAGCAGGGAGCCTGCTTCCTCCTCTCTCTCTCTGCCTGCCTCTCTCTCTGCCTGCCTCTCTGCCTGTCAAATAAATAAATAAATAAAATCTTCAAAAAAAAATTTAATTTAAAAAAAAAAAAAAGTCCCAGAAACCAGCCCCAGGTAACAAAGTCCAAATACAAGGGTGGGTCAGGCCAGGTGGAGGTATTCAATCAGTGGGGCGTGCATACTGTCTCCCTAGTTACCAAGGAGTATGGGCCCCGCCCTTTGGGCACCTTTTGGGCGCCAATTCTGACCAAGGTGATAGGCTGGTTCAAATGTCTACTAGGGTAAATTGTAATTCAACTGGTCACCTAGCATGACTATGCAGCTCTCTCTGTGCGTTACAATTTCATTGGCCACCTGTGTGTGGCCAGGCCCAACCACATGGCCTTTGCTCTATAAAAGTTAGTCTGTGAAACAGAGAGAGGTCATCGTCCTCTCTGTAAGGGGTGGCCCCGACCAGTCTGTTTGGCGGTTGGTCTGATTCTTGATGCTTGGCGGGAAATAAAGCTTTGCTTGACCTTCGCTTTATATCAGTCTCGCTCCTTTGACCATGGACCCATTATTGGGGGATCCAACACTGGGGACCCAACAGGGGGAAAGGATGATATATGACCATGAAGCTGAGCAGCTGGGGATGCCCGGCTCATTTAGGGCAGAACAAAATACCGTCTGCTTCCCTTTTCCACTGTCTCTCCTTTCTCTTCCCAGAAGCGCCCGTTGTTAGTTAGATGAGTCCTTTGAATGTGCTTGCTTAACTATAAACTTTACCCTCCTTGTTTGTCCACAATGTTTGACCTTCATTGGTTCCTCTGTTGGCTACTGTTTCTATCTAATAAAAGTGAGACTGTGGAGTTGCTCAGTGCAGCAGTCTTTTTGACTGTTGTCCCCTGCTCCCATTCTCTTGTCACTGACTTGTTTGTGCCTCATTCTTCTCCCATTTGCCGACTGGAAGCAGCAATTCAACACGAACATCCCAGCTCCCTGGAGCAAGCGGAAGTAGGAGAAGGCCAAGGAGGCCTCCGTTCTCAGGGGGAGCTTATGAAAATGCATGCTGTTCCCATGGCAGATCTCTACGCAGGCTGCGTGCTGAAGTCACACAGAGGCTTCAAAAATGTAAATCCCTGGACCTCCATTCACGTGTGCTGAGGTCTCCAACACCGGGACTGACCTTTGAAAAGAGGAGTCCACTGAAGCTTCAGGACTGGGAAGCTGCCTGCTGCTGAATTCACTTGCACACACAACCCATGAACTCATAGAGCTGAGACAGCAGTGGGAGAGGGGGCCTTGACCAAGGACCAACACTGGGATTTGCTAGATGTTAGCTGAGGTCCAGGACAGACTAAGGCGAGAGCACCTACCGCAGGGTCACTCTCTGGCAGGCCTTTATGCACAAGGCAACGGACACCTCAAGCAGGAGTAGGAGCCAGCCAGATGAAGAGCATTTGAAGGCCACATGCACCCAACATGGCAGGAGCAGAGCTCCGGAGACCAATCATGCTTGATGGACACAGCACATTGCACAAGATCAGTGTCTCTGCAACCCAGACAACAGAGGAAATTCAGCCTGATCAGTGAAGTAGACACAGAGAAAGTCGCTGTCCTGAATAGCCAAACAAGGAGACTTGATCTGCACACAAGGGGCAGTGAGAGTCAGATCCTCATCAGAATACTGCGGCTGTTGACCCTGGGAGGCACCTTCCCTGCCTGGACTTTTGACATCTACTGTGGAAAGAACATCTAATTCATGTCCCACATGTATGATATAGGATTTCAAGATTCCTGCTCAAGTTGAAGCTGTGAGTGAAGGTTAAAGGGAATTCAGGAAATGTTCCCTAGGAGGAGACACTGTCCATTTGATGAAGTTCTAGAATCTAGGTGAGGTTCGGTGGGGTAAGGTCTGGAGCCGATGACCAAGAAAGAATTCTTGAGACATTTTTGGTGCAAAATGGTGGTTTATTAAAGCACAGGGACAGGACCGGTGGGCAGGGAGAGCTGCTGCCCCGGGTTGTGAGGGATGGCAGGTTATGTACCCTGAGGTTGGGGGAAGGTGAGGGAAAGGGAGGTTTCAATGGAGATTTCATATGCTAAAGAGGGCCTACAAGGTGCCGGGATACCGGAGGTCTTATGGCTTGATCAATGTTGTCTTTTCCCTTTTGGCAAGTCATTAACATCAAGATAGTTGAGAAATTCCTAATGAATTTCACATTTGTCCCACCCAGGAGTGGTGGGGGTGAGGGGAGATTGCGAGGTGTCAGCCTTTTGCTTTGTCCTCAGCCAGACTTCTGCTCCCTCAACACATTCACCCACTTTGTGATCTACATGAACATCCTCAAGTCCCCAGTGAGACCCCAACACCTGAGCCCTCCATACTTCCTGTATGGAGGAAGTATACTTCCTGTCCCTTCCCCAGATACCCAACCCCAGAGGCAATGAGTCACCCTTGCTGGCTAGGCTGAGACCTGAACTTTAAGGCATTTGGAATGTGGATGCCTACAGCACCTGACACAAGAGGTCATGGCTCCTTCTTGTTCCCAAACCCAACAGAATAAAAATAAGCTGTGTAATTGAATGACAGCACATCTAGTTATTTTTAGTGCCTGAGACCCTGGCAGAGACCAAGGGACAGGGAGAAAACTCAGCTTCCTGGTGCCTTAGGACCCTTTATTCTCCCCTCTCTCCTCATTAATCATCTTGCACAGAGACCCCACACCAAACATGGTGGCCTTCACATCCAAGAAGAAGGAGTTGGAATCCTGCCTTCAGCCTTACCTGCCTGCAGGATCAGATGGCTCTTCTGTCCTGTTTCTGGACCTAATTCCTTCCATTTCCTGTGCAGCTGCTGCTTCTCACTTCAGTAGGCAATTCTTGCATTACAGTACAAGTCCATAGCACAGTTTCATGATTTTTAATATTTTAGGCCTCTTTCTCCTTTAACAAGTTGACCAAAGTTATCCTACTCAAGGGGATATATATTCTAAGTTCGTCTTTGACAATTTGTCAGGTACAACCATTTATGCACATACCTTTTCTCTCTTTCCTAAAAATACCTAAAACAAAACAAATGGGATGAGAGTATCTACAAGAATTTCCTTCCCTGTGGAGAACAGAAGCTTGGTGAGGACTCAGTTGCCTGATGGGTCGTATGGGGCATTGATCTGCTCACCCCTGGGGCAGGAAGGAACATCTGCACATGGGGAAAGGTTTTGGCTGAGAACCTCTGACCTGTATGTTAAATCCTAGGCTGGGGGTCATACTGGGATCTGCTGCCCTGGGCAACATACCACACATCAGTCATCAACAGCCTTGGGTACAGGCACATGTGCCATGAGCTAGAGCACCATCACCCTAATCAGAGGCCCTCCCTCCAGAGACAAGCTCCTGTGACCAGTTACCCACTGAAGGAGCATTGGTCTCAACACCAAGGACAAGACGCACAGCATTGCCATTGAGGATGCTACTGCCAGTGTCCATGGAAAAAGCCCCTCATGCCAGAACTAATTCCAGAGTGAAGAACCACCATCTAATCTCACTGTTCTATACACACCGGTGTTTCTGCACTTCCCACTTGCCTGGAAACCCTCACCAAGGAAAGGATTCTGAAATCAGGTGTGTCCATCTGTGACAATGCCCCATCCTTTCATTCTACAGTGGGGGGCATGGAGCCCAAGGATGAACTGCAGTCTCTGCCCACCTTGTGATCAGGCACACCTTCTCTTGGGGACCAAGTGAAACCCTCATTTAGGGGCACCGGTGATTAAAGACATGTACCCGCAAATCCTAAGTCCTTGAGTTAACTACAGCATCAGTGGATTGGGTTGACTCAATCAGGTGGGGCAGTTAGAAGTTCTCTGGTGGTTTTGAAAACCACAGAGGAGATATCACTGGGCTTACACATCTCGACCAATCATGGGTGAGGTTTCTATGCCCATTAGAGACAATTCTGGCCAAAGGAAGAGGCTAGAAACAAACTAAGAACACTTGTAGATTATGTGCTTGGTTCCTCACATATACAGACACGGAATTTCGACTTGGTTTGTGAATTGTTTCATTGAAAGGTGTTTGAACCCCTGACTCTGGGAACTTCGATCTTCCCTCTAGACCAGAGCATGCCCACTCCCCTCCCAGGATTCCACTCAGAGCCCAGCTCATGTGCAGGAGGATACCAGAAGAGAATGAAGGCCCAAAATCTGGAATGAGCCAAATGGGACAGTGGCCTTGTTGGGTCTGACTCAGTCCACAGATAGCCCTGGAATCTTCCCACCAGAACACTTCCAGGATCTCCAGAAACAGCTGTCAGCTGAGGGGCAAGGGAGCTGAGTCATAGCTATGTCCCAGGACCTTGGGGCTCAGTCCCACATAAGCAGCCTCCCTGTGGCCAGTGAGAAGCAGCCTGGACACTCCCCCTCCCACACCATGGCTGGGGCTGAGCAGCTGGCACTGGGAGACTTGGGTGTGAAGAGTTGGCAAATGGATCCAGAGCCTCACTAAGGCAAAAGGCAAATAGAAGCTCTCTGGCCCATATTCAAGGTCCATCATCAGAAATCCCACTACATCCCAGGGTTGTGTCACAACCAGAAGGCTGTCAGCACACAACCAAAGGGGCACTAAAACAAGGTCATGAAAGATCTGAAGCCTGTCACCTATGCAGGCTGTGTTTCCATCTTTGGAACCAGCTGCTTTGCCACGTACCTGAAGCCTGTGGGGTGGGTCACATTCATGGACCGCCAGCTCTAGTAGATGCAGGTGCTGCTCTGAGACCACTCTGACACAGACACTGCTCAGGAGTGTCAACTTCAACCATGACCAGGGCCATCAGAAGTGCAGGGGGCCAAGTAAGTGACGTGTGATGAGAACCTCCAGGCACCCAGAGCCTGAGTCTTCCTTAGTCACCTTCCAGCCCATCTCCTGAACAGTCACCCAGAAGAAGCTACCAGCTCTCCTCAGAAGCAAGATGCAAATTCTCCTCACTCTGAACCTGATCTGGAGGCTCTGAGATTCTTGGGAATATGGATCCTGACTCCAGTGGGGAGATAAGGAATTAGTACAACCCCCTGTACCCATGACCCCTTCCCTGCCCAAGGCCAAGGTCATGATTAAACTTTGGAATGACAAAGCAACATTCATCCCTTTCTCTCTGTAGCCAGGATTAGAAAAGAGACACAAAGCAGCCAAGGATCTGGGAGCAGGTAAGCTTCCTAGGACCTTGAGACCAACCGCCTTTCTCCCTCTGCTTTCCTGTTCATTCTTGGTGCCCAGAGGCTCATTGACCTTCAAGGAACTACTTGAAAATCGGAGAGGACAGCCCTTCAATCCTGCCTTCAGCATTTTCCAGAAGGCCAGCATCGTCCTTTCACTTAGAAGTTCTGGGCCTCATCCTCCTACGATATTAATACTGACTACCGAAGCAGCTGGAGCTCAGTATTTGTGTCGGATATACATGTATTTCAAGGTCACGTGGTCTTAACGTGCTTCTCTACATTCCTTGAAGAACTGTAAATGAACTTTCTTCCCAATATATATCCCAGCTTCTCTAGGCTTTCTCTTGAAAACCATCATTACACTCAAAAACAATTCACGTTCCTATTACGAATAAGATTAGTCAAGAACATTAGGATTCAGTCCTTTGACAAATACTGCCTTCCTGCTCTGAACAGGATCTTTGTGAGAAAGGAGAGGATTTCATGGTCACCAGAGGGCGCTGGTGAGCTGCCACGGATCTAAGACTGAACCTTCCAGGGAATCCAGACCCCGGTCTCCGGCTGTCAGAGCCCAGGCAGAAGGACCCTACTAGTACTATGGGGGCAGTGCACCCCCAGATCCGTCAGACAGATGTGGCTGCAGGCACATCTGTTGGGTCTGAGTGCTGTCACCCCTTCTAGGAGACCCTCCCCGGGGCATCTCAGTGGAGATAGACACTGGTGCCTGAAATAAGCCTCCTTACACCTGGATTCTATGTGCTCACCTTGGAGGCCTTTCAAAGACTCTGCCCTTCAGGGCATAGAGCCAAGGGAGGGGTTTGAGGCAGTGGGGAGGTGGAGTGGAGCAGCTGCCCCAGGCCCATCAGATCAAGTTCCCCAGTCTTGACTCATGGAGTGGGGAGGTTAGGGTTCTTGCACTGACTGCAGGCTGGATACCCCCATCTATCTACCCATCTCCCCTAGGCTTCCGAAACAACTCGCTGCCCTGAGATTTCTGATTGCACCCACGGAGTCAAGACTCAACATGTTGCTCAATCCAGGGAGGACCTGGATGACGCAAAAGTCAAACCACCTGGTCCCCATCATTTCCTGAGTCCTGTGGGAGGTGCCAGCCACCACCAAGGAGCAGCCAAGACATCACAGGGCCGGAGGGCTGATAGTGGTGGGGGGGGGGGTGGCGGCGGCAGGGCTGCCACGGATGGGAGGATCAGGGTGGGCCTCACCCTGAGCCAGATGTTGACACTATATGTGTATGTCTGATCCCCTGTCCCCAGCCTCGGGCAGACTTATCACACCCAACAGCTTAAAATGACCTCAAGCATTACCGCGGTTTTTCCCCTCTCTGCTCCCTTCTACTTTCCCGACAGTCTAAGAATTAAACTTCCCTTCTGTCATTCAGGAACCTGTAATGACTGTCTCTATAAATAGGTTTTTTTGTTTTTGTTTTTGTTTTTTTTAGATTTTATTGTTGGAGAGAGTGAGTGAGCGCACAAGCAGGCGGTGGGGGAGCAGCAAGCTCCCCAGTGAGCAAGGGACTCAACGTAGGACTCGATCCCAGGACCCTGGGATCACGACCTGAGCCAAAGGCAGACACTTAACCAACTGAGCCATTCAAGCATCCCTGTAAATACTTTTGACTAACTTCCATGGCACATCAGGAACTCTGTCCTGGACTCATTCGGCTCACCCAAGCACCCATTAGTTCGACATTTAAACACCTTCCAGGAAGACCTAGTAGGTTCATCCACTTACAGTACTTTTTCCTATAAGGTACTTAACACCGTGTCCCTTGTATTCAGATATGCAGCCAAGAATTTCAAGATATTTACACACTGTTTGTGTTAAAACATGTGAATGGGGGCAGGGGAAGAGGGAGAAAAAGAATCTTAAGCAGACCCCCTTGCTGAGCAGGGAGCCCACCTCGGGCCTCAATCCCAGGAGCCTGAGATCTTGACCTAAGCCAAAAACCAAGAATTGATGCTTAACTGACTGAGCCACCCAGGTGCCCCTACACAGGAAGCATTTTTAACTGAGGCACTTTCACTGAAAAACAGTGTTTTACACTCAAAGAAACAATTTTGTCTTACAGCAATGGATTTCCCCAAGCTTTAAAGCTGAGTACAGCATTTCCTCATAGACCCTCAAGAAGACGAATAGCTCTAAAAATACGTGACAAACCCGTGATGGGATCTGCAGCCCCCTCCAGAGGCAATGTCAGGAAGAGCTTCGAGGTCAGGCTGGAGTCCTCTGCCTCAAGCTGCAAGGTCCTCATTAAGCTAATTTCTCAAGGGCTAAAAAGCAAGAAAAACCAGGAAAAACCTGGCCATTTGGACCCTCTTGAAGCGCAGCTTCTCCACCCTGATGGTGTTAGAATGACCTAAGACCCTCAGAACTGGGGACACTCTGGACCCCCCCCCCGCCCTGCCGATCGTCCCTAGAGAATCACTGAAGGGTGTCCCCTCAGCACTGTGAAACCTTGGAGTTCTAATCCACAGCCTGGGAGTGACTCCATTACTCGAGTCCCCACCTTGCTGGAGCACAGTGAGGTAGGGAAGGCCAAGGAGGCCCCTGCTATCAGGTGCAGCTCATGGCCAAATGCAAGATATTCCTCTAGGAGGACAGCTGTACCCAGGCTGCTTGTTGGCATCAACGGAGGAACTTTCCACAAAGTTGCAGACCTTGGCCCAGAATAATTAACTCCGAATCACTGGCATTGACCTCTGATAAAGGCCTCCCACTGATTCCACTGTAGCATCAGTCCTGGGAAGCTGCTCTACAGCCTACTTTGCTTCTAGGCACAATCCACAATTTCACGGAGCTTAGAGACCAGTGGGAGGGCTAGACTTGGCCAAGAAGTTAACATGAAGTCCATGAAGTAGGAGGCCATTTTCAGGACTGAAGTGATGAGGGAGCAGGAGGCTAACTGAAGACAAAGCAAAAGCTGGCACCTTGCACCCCCTCTCCATCAGCTCCCCCTCAGTAATATGTATAGCATTCCTCAGGCACCCCTGACTGCCATAAACGATAAACAAATAGTTAACTTGCAGAGATCACAATCCTGCAAGACAGGAGTCTCCCTTGGTTTACAAATGTCCTAGAGATCTACCAACAAAGAAGTTACCTTATCAATAGCACAATTTCCAGAGGCAAATAACTCAGTTCCTCAAGCCCTAATGTCTCCCTCCCCACCATAAACAAAACTGAAGGAGGCTGAGGTAGAAGGAAATGTAAATATGGTTAAATCTCTTCTAAACCTAAATCTCACTAACAAAGACAAAAAAAAAAAAATCTCCCAACTATCTTGATGTTAATGGCTGGCCTAAAGACAACATTGATCAAGCCACAAGGGCAAGGCCTCAGGTAGGCCTCGGGTATCCTGGCACCTATAAGCCCTCTTTAGCATATGAAAGTTTTGTTGAAACCTCCCTTCCCCTCACCTTCCCCCAACCTGCCATCTCTCACAACCTGGGGCAGCAGCTCTTCCTGCCCACAGGTCCTGTCCGCGTGCTTTAATAAACCACCATTTTGCACCAAAGATGTCTCAAGAATTCGTTCTTGGTCATCGGCTCCAGACCTCAGCCCACCGAACCTCACCTAGGTTCTAGAACCTCATCAGAAGGACAGGCAGCACCTCTGGGGAGTGTCCCCACCCTCTCAGACCTCTGTGCACAGGTGATAACAGACCTGAGTGGAAGCAGGAACCACCCTGATGAATGGCCCTGGAGAGGCTACTGCCCCTTGGAACAATGTATTACTTAAAATATAACCCATGGGAAATTTTACTAGTTACCAAGCACATCTAGATATAGCCTTAAGAAAAACACATACTGGCAACAGTCTTTTCGACTGTTGTCCCCTCCTCCCTTTCTCTTGTAGCTGACTTGTTTGTGCCTCATTCTTCTCCCGTTCACCGACTGGAAGCAGCAAGTGGTGCCTGAACAGAGACCAGAAACGAAATAGGAAAAGAAGCCCCAACGTGAGTTTTTGCACAGCCGTGCCATTTTCCCGCTGGTGAGTTGTGGGTACTTATCGCAGGGTATGGGTAATCTAGAGAGCACGAACGATTATCGCCCTTAGGATTGCCTACTGAGACGGCTCCTAAAGGCGGGAGGAGCAAAAGTCAGCGAGGGCCAACTTATGGAGCTTTTAAAGGTGATTAAAGAACCTTGCTCCTGGTTCCCTATATTAGGGACTTTAGATTTACAAACATGGGAAAAAGTAGGTCATGAGTTAAAACTTTCATATACTAAAGAAAAGCCAATTCCAGTTACTATATGGCCTACTTGGACCCTCATTTGCTCTGTTTTGGAGCCTTTACAAACCCCTGATTCGGAGAGCAGTAATGAATGTTCAGGAGAAACTAAAAAAGAGGAACCTGAACGTGCCATCCAGGAGGAGAAAGAAATGACTAAGGCCGTCGTAAAGGAATATATAAAGGAGGAATCTCACCTCCTCCTCCAATAGCAGAGCAAAAGGTGCCGCCATCAGCTTCATCATTCTGTAAGAAAGCACCATTTAATGAAAAAGATGAAAAATACACGCTATCAGCCATTCAAAAAGGCCTCCTTGAAGCACAGCGAGCAGGAGACCTAGATGCGTTACATTTTAATTTCCCGGTTATTATTAGAGAACATGGCCCTCCGGGACATGATCCTAACAACCCTAATGGTATCTATGAGGCCAAGCATGAGCCATTTCCCTTCAAATTACTGAAGGAACTAAAACAAACAGAGCAAAACTATGGAGTTAATTCTCCATTTACAACGGGAATCATTCAAGACCTCGCAGAAGACAATTGACTTATTCCGATTGATTGGTCATTGTTAACAAAAACAGTTCTATCTCCAAGTTGAGTTCTTACAATCTAAAACATGGAGGCACGATCGTGCAGAAACAGCAGCGGCCCATAACAGAGTTCGTAATGTTTCTATTTCCATGGAGCAGCTCATGGGTATTGGGCCATGGGTCCGGATACAAGACCAGGTACTAATGAATGATCAAGCTATTGAACAGCTCCAGTGTTGTTGTTTGAGATCCTGATAGTGCTAGATTAGATATCCCCATTCCCAAAGATTATCTTTTAATGCCTACCAAGCTTCCCGCTGAAATTCCAACTAATATTTATGGCCCTTTACCAAAGGCGACCACTGGGTTACTTTTGGGGAGATCTAGCCTTACTTCAAAGGGAGTACTAGTTCACACTGGCATTATTGATTCAGATTATACTGGTGAAATTTCAGTGATGTTAACTACTATGGCTCCATACCATTTTCAAAAAGGAGACTGCATTGCCCAGTTGTTACTTTTACCCTATCTCCAGGGTCAATCTAAAAACAAACTCCAATGGGTTTCGAAGTACTGGAAAAACTGGAGCATATTTAACTGAGAAAATTTATCAAGATAGACCAATTTGTCATCTTAAAATACAAGGAAAGGAATTTTCAGGTCTAATTGATAGTGGAGCTGATGTCTCTATCATAAGCTCATTACATTGGCCTAAAAAATAGCCATATATTTCCTCTTCTGTTACTATTACCGGATTCAGACAGGCTGGCAATGTGCGTCAAAGCTCCAGTATTCTTTTCTGTGAAGGACCTGAGGGTCAAAAGGGTTATCTACAGCCATATATTGTAGACTTACCCATTAACCTTTGGGGGCGAGATTTACTAAGTCAATGGGAAGCGTCTCTGGTTATACCTTCCCCTAAGGAGGACTCCCAGATTTTTCACTGCGGGCCAACTGCTCCTGAACCCACTAAGTTAAACTGGAAGAATGACAAACCCATTTGGGTGGAGCAGTGGCCCTTAACACAAGAGAAATTACTTACCTTGCAAACCCTACTAGAGGAACAGATTAAAAAAAAAAAGGACATATTGAAGAATCTCACAGTCCTTGGAATTCACTAGTTTTTGTTATTAAGAAAAAATCAGGAAAATGGAGACTTTTAACAGACCTATGTATGGTTAATTCTGCTATCCAACTCATGGGGTCTCTCCAACCTGTATTGCCTTTGCCTAATCTAGTCCCATGCGGATGGCCAATAATTATCATAGATTTACAGGATTGCTTTTATACTACACCACTTGCTAAGGAAGACTGTCCCCGTTTTGCTTTCACTCTTCCCAGTGTAAATTTAAAAGAACCAGCCAAAGGATATCAATGGAAAGTTCTTCCACAACGGATGTTAAATAGACCCCACTATCTGTCAGGAGTATGTGGCAAAAGTTATACAGCCAGTTAGAAATCAATTTCCAGGGGCGCCTGGGTGGCTCAGTGGGTTAAGCCGCTGCCTTCGGCTCAGGTCATGATCTCAGGGTCCTGGGATCGAGTCCCGCATCGGGCTCTCTGCTCAGCAAGAAGCCTGCTTGCTTCCCTCTCTCTCTCTGCCTGACTCTCCGTCTACTTGTGATCTCTGTCTGTCAAATAAATAAATAAAATCTTTAAAAAAAAAAAAAAATCAATTTCCACAAGTTTATCTTTTCCATTATATGGATGATATATTATGTGCAGCCTCTGACAACGTACAATTGCAAGATGCATTCATAATGCTTCAATTGCAATTTGAAAAATACAAAGTATAGCTCCAGAAAAAATACAAGTCACCACATCTTTCTCATATTTGGGGTTCATTATGGACAGGACCTCAGTTAAACCCCAAAAAGTCCAAATCCATAGAGATAAAATGACAACCTTGAATGATTTGCAAAAATTATTGGGAGACATAATTGGATAAGACCTAAAGTTGGAATTCCCCCTTATGCTTTACAGCATCTAGTTGCCTCTTTAAAGGGAGATTCTAATTTAAACAGCCCTAGGACCCTATCAAAAGAGGCTTTAAAAGAATTACAATTTGTTGAAAGCCAGATTCATTCAATGCAAATGGATAGAGTCCAACCTGAGAAACCATTAGATCTTCTTATTTTTCATACCCCACATACACCCACTGGGTTAATTATTCAGGAAAAATTAATTATAGAGTGGATTTTTCTCCCAAATAATACTATTAAAACATTCACTACCTATATAGACCATATTGGCAGTATTATTCAATTAGGAAGAAAAAAAAATACTCGCCAAATACAGGGGTATGATCCACAGGTTATTGTTCTGCCTTTAAATAAGACACAAATTGAAATGACATTCCAAAATAATTTAAATTGGCAAATTGCCCTTAGTGACTTTACTGGAAACACTTCTTCTGATTATCCCTCTTTACCTGTTGTTTCCTTTTTAAAACATACTGCTTTTGTCCTTCCTAAAATTACTTCTAAAAATCTAATAACAGATGCCCCTACTTACTTTTCTGATGGCTCTGTCAAAGGTAAAGCTTGTTATTATGGTCCTACTTCAAAGGTCATATCTACTACCAGTCTCTCAGCACAAAACTCAGAATTAATGGCGGTTATTGCATTGTTTCAAGATGTTTCTTCTGCATTTAATCTGTTATCTGATTCTTTGTATATAGTATGTGTTTTATAGCATATCAAAACTACTACTGTTTCTACATCTGATGTAATATGATGACCCTCATCACAGTAACCGTAAGTCTTCCTGGATGTTATGCACAAATAAATAACTTTACTTACTGGGCTTATATACCCAATCCTCCCCTGCTCCATCCAGTAGAGTGGGGAAAAAAATATAATACCAATTTATTTAAATGCCTCAAAATGGGTACCTGGAATTTTGGATCCTAGATTGCCACTATTGCCCTTAGAGGAGGGCACAAATATTAATCTTACCTTAGGATATGAAAATAGACCAATATGTATTGGCAATCATTCCAGTTGTCTTATCCCTGATGATCAAAGATGGTTGGTGGACTTTCCTACTGATAATTATCTGACTAAAGTTCAGTTACATTTACTCTCCACTAAAGGATTCCTTGCCAAGGAATATCGGGGTTCTAACCATAACACAGCAGCACCCTCTATTCCCAAATGCAAACTAACACAAATGTGGTCTGATGAGGGAATTCGCCCTTTATGGGAGGATTGTCGAGCTTCTCAACCCAGTATTGTTTTTAATGATTACTATGGAATTGTATGGGACTGGTCCCCTAGTGGGGTGGCAGTCACCAATTGCACTGGGAGATCCTGCTCCTCTCATTGAAATTTAAAATGGCAAGTTTTTGATGATCTCATTTCACCACAAACCTTAACCTCAGGAGATGCACCTCTGGTCTGGCTTGGGCAAGGACTTTCAATGCCATCCCCTTTTGCTAATTATCATAAAAGACAAAAGAATTTGTGAAAGGTCACCACCGCTTTAAATCACATAAGAGTTTGGAACGGCTCTTACATTCATCAATCTAATGACTATGCATTCTCTTTTTTCCTAATGGATGAAGAATGGGTAAAAGCTTGTGTTAGAGATCCCTGTTTTTGTTATTGGAAAAATGACTTTTAATCATAGCAATAGAGAAATAAACTGTCTCAAATGTAAAATGTTCACCTGTGTGGATGAGAATGTTTATACAGACAATTCTTTCATTCCCATAGCTAGAAGAAGAATAGGCATTTGGTTTCTGGTGAAACACCACTGTGTTCGGGAAAGCTCTCCAGATAAGCATGTACTTTTAGTTTTAAAAAACTGGGTCCATAGAACAAAAAGATTTCTTGGGTTGCTTATAACAACTATTTTAGAAATTATAGCCATTACTGTTACAGCTACCTCTGCAGGAAGAGCCTTACATCGAACTGTACAAACCACACAATTTGTACAAAAGTGGCATGAGAATGCTAGCAAAGCTTGGAATCAACAAATGATCATAGGTCAAAAATTAGATGAAAGTATTTCTAATTTAGAAGCAGCCATGATCGGTATCATGTTACCGGATTTCAAGCTTTACTACAAAGCTGTGATCACCAAGACAGCATGGTACTGGCATAAAAACAGACACATAGACCAGTGGAACAGAGTAGAGAGCCCAGATATGGACCCTCAACTCTATAGTCAAATAATCTTCGACAAAACAGGAAAAAGTATACAGTGGAAAAAAGACAGTCTCTTCAATAAATGGTGCTGGGAAAATTGGACAGCTATATGTAGAAGAATGAAACTAGACCATTCTCTTACACCATACAAAAAGTTAAACTTGAAATGGATAAAAGACCTCAATGTGAGACAGGAATCCAACAGAATCCTAGAGGAGAACATAGGCAGTAACCTCTTCGATATCAGCCACAGCAACTTTCAAGATATGTCTCCAAAGGCAAAGGAAACAAAAGCGAAAATGAACTTTTGGGACTTCGTCAAGATCAAAAGCTTCTGCACAGCAAAGTAAACAGTCAACAAAACAAAGAGGCAACCCACAGAATGGGAGAAGATATTTGCAAATGACAGTACAGACAAAAGACTGATATCCAGGATCTATAAAGAACTCCTCAAACTCAACACACCCAAAACAGATAATCATATCAAAAAATGGGAAGATATGAAGACACTTCTCCAATGAAGACATACAAATGGCTATCAGACACGAAAAAATGTTCATC